TGTATCAGAGAGTACAGTCCAGAGTATTTGGCTCTACGATTCCATGTTTTTGAGGCAACTTCTATAAATATTTTTTTCAAACTGGGTTTTTGGTAAGGATTAGATAGCAGATTTCAAGGCCATAATTTATGGAAAGTAACTTCTCTGCATTTCCAGTGAAATGCAGGCCCTTGCTTTTTTTTTTTTGCAGTTTTTGGCCAGGGCTGGGTTTGAACCCGCCACCTCTGGCATATGGGGCCAGCACCCTACCCCTTTGAGCCACAGGTGCTGCCCCAGGTCCTTACTTTTGCCAACTTCAAGGACAGGGATAGAAATGATATCCTTTTATGAAAATTAAATGTTATTTATTGTTCAATTAATGATTAAAGTTAGGGGAAGAGCCACTACCAAGACGGTAAGAACCATGTTTTTCTTGCTGAAACTTGAACAATGGGTGTGAGGCAAAGAAGAATTACTCGATACAAGACATATTTTATAATTTGATTTAAAATTTAATTTAAAACTACAGGAAAGAGATTTCTGATCCTAAGAAAACTGAAATATTGACCCCAACACAGAAAAGACAGGCTTTCTTTTCTCTGAATTTGAAAAATAAATCAAAAAGACATCTTGTTAGAATAATAAACATATAATGTCAAGAGTCTAAATTTCACCTTTTTTCAGGCCTTGATTAAATGCTGCCACCTTAAAAATGTGTAGCTATTCCAAATTTATTATGGCATTTGACTATTTCCTCTTATGTCATTTTTTACTTTCTGCCTAGAGTTGCATTCATGTTACTGTCTTACTGGAGTAAAATCTTTTTTTCTTTTTTGAGACAGAGTCTCACTTTGTTGCCCCCAGTAGAGTGCCCAGGCATCATAGCTCACAGCAACCTGTAACTCTTGGGCTCAAGTGATTCTCTTGCCTTAGCCTCCCAAGTAGCTGGGACTACAGGTCCTCGCCACAATGCCCTATTGGCATTGGATATTTTTCTTAGAGATGGGATCTTGCTATAGCTCAGGCTGGTCTTGAACTCGTGAGCTCAGGTGATCTGCCCTGGCCTTTCAAAGTGCTGGGATTACTGGCATGAGCCACTGTGCCCAGCCTAAGAGTATAATCTTTTTGAGGACACAAATGGTCTGGAGACTCCTATGCAGGTTTAAGATAGTGCTATGTTCATAACCAGCACTTATGAAAAACTCTTCTGTGAACTAATGAAAATATTTTATCTTATTACATGGTCAGTTTAAAGTTAAATGTGTTTTTAAGACATCCAAAGCAATAAGGTCTCTTATTAAAAGAATTGCCAGATACAATAAACTTAAAAAATCTGTTCATATATTTAAACATGAATTAGAGGTGGCTCTAACCTGATTCATTTATTAATACATTACTTTTCTTTTTTCATTTTTTATTGCTACATAATATTTGTACATATTTATGGAGTATAAGTGATATTTTGATACATGCATACAATGTGTAATGATCAAATCAGGGTATATAGAACATCCATCACCTTGAACTTTTGCCATTTTTTTGTATTAGGAACAATTCAGACAAGATGGAGCAAGTTCAGGGTGTTAGGGCTCTACATTGTATTAGGAACACTTCAAATCATCCCTTCTAGCTATTTTGAAACACAGTATATTACTGCTAATTATAGTCACCTTACTGGGCTATCAAACTGGAACTTATGCCTTCTATCTAAAGGTATGTTTGTGCCCACTAACCAACTCTCTTCGTACCTTTTCCACTGAACTCTTCCCAGCCTCTGGTAACTATCATTCTACCTTTTACCTCTATGAGATCCACTTTTTTTAAGCTTTCACACATGACATTTGTCTTTCTGTGCCTGGCTTATTTCACTTAACATAATGACCTTCAATTTCATTCATGCTGCTACAAAAGACGGAATTTCATTTATTTGTATGGCCAATTACAGGGTTGTACAATTAAGTTCAAGAACTCATCCTAGAAAAAGTGCTATATACCTCATTGCTGAATATCACTATGGTCACCTTCAAAGTACTCCCCTTGGCCATCTGGTAACTGTAGTGATATTCAGCACTAAAGTATGTACTGCTTTTTCTAGGATGAGTTCTTGAGGTTCATTGTCCAACCTCATAGTATCCTATTGGGCATATACACCATATTTCTTTTATCTGTTCGACCATTAATGGACACTTAGGTTGACTCCATATCATTGCAACCCATGAATTCTGCTGCAATGAACATGGGAGTACACCTGTCTCTTTGATATACTGATTTCCCTTCCTTTGGATAAATACCTAACAGCAGGATTGCTGGGTTGAGAAGCCTCCGTGCTATTTTCCATAAGGGATGTACTAATTTGAATTCCCACCAACAGCATAGTAGTTACTTTTCTTTTAATCAGATGTCCACAGCTGTAAGCATCCTTTGATTCAGAAGAAAACTGGCAACCTAATAGCTAATTTTCACATTGCAAGATAACCCCAAAGAGTTTCTTCTTCTGAAACTATTCTTGGAATGGTTACTTCTTGTCCTCCTTTTAAGAGTACTAAACAGATCTGCTTCTTGTCACAAGATTTCCTTAAGAAAGGAATATATGGCTCGGCGCCTACAGCTCAACCGGCTAAGGTGGCGGGTTCAAATCCCCAGCCCGGACCCGCCAAACAACAATGAGGGCTGCAACCAAAAAATAGCCAGGCGTTGTGGCGGGCGCCTGTAGTCCCAGCTACTTGGGAGGCTGAGGCAGGAGACTCGCTTGAGCCCAGGAGTTGGAGGTTGCTGTGAGCTGTAATGCCACAGCACTCTACCCAGGGGGACAGCTTGAGGCTCTGTCTCAAAAAAAAAAAAAAAGAAAGAAAGAAAGGAATATACTGGCTTGGCGCCCATAGCACAGTGGTTACGGTGCCAGCCACATGCACTAAGGCTGGCAAGTTCGAACCTGGACCTGCTAAACAACGACAATTACAACAAAAAAGTAGCCCAGCATTGTGGCGGGTGCCTGTAGTTCTACCTACTTGGGAGGCTGAAGCAAGAAAATCTCTTAAGCCCAAGAGTTTGAAGTTGCTGTGAGCTATGACACCACCACACTCTACCAAGGGCGACATACCATGATTCCCTGAAAAAAAGACACTGTATTATATTTATTTTTTCTCAAGACGACACACTAAGGCTTATTTTCAGGGGATGTCTTATTTTTTATCAAGTATAATACAATAATCTACATTTATTCAAATACAGTTAAGTTGTTTTCTTCTGGAACCTGAGAGGGGAAGCCAACCTTGTTGGTGGGGCTGGCACTAGTAATGCATGAACTCCTTTCCCCTAGTCATTCGCACGTGCGCAATAGGATGCCTGCTACCTTGGTTACCACAGGTGCACCCACGCCAGTGCTAACGGCTCAGAGAAAGGAGCTGTAGAAGATAAAAAGTATTACAGTCTTCCTTATGGCTCAGCGTCAAAATGCATGCATATCTGCATGGCCACGCCCACCACTAGCTCTTATTATCAGGGTAGAGCTTATATTTTTAAAATGCATAGAAATCCTGCTAGGTTTTATTTTTTGCATAGGTCTTATTTTCGGGGAAACATGGTAGTTGGACTCTGTCTTAAAAAAAAAAAAAAAGAAAGGAATATACTTTTGATACAGGGTTCCCCTATTCAAAGCTGGACAGGAGACACCCCTTTTCCTAGGCCTGGGCAATTTCATGAAGGGAATGCCCTGATCTTTTGCCCTGAGCTGGAGGGACTGCGTTCATTCATTCGTCCATAACACTCACTAACTTTGAGGCCGTGTTTCCATCTTCCGAGTCCTGTCCAAGACCTAATACCCCGAGACAAAGAGCCCACATAGAGACTCCCACTTGGGTCTTTCCCTCTGCCAGAAGTTCTGGTGCTTTTTAGTCCTTCTAAATTCCTTTCTAATAAAATCCTATCTTACCACTGATCTGTGGTCCTCATTCCTCCATACCGGAGACCAAAGACCTACTGAAGAGAGAAATTCCAATAACACTTTCACACTGATAGCAGGCTTTGGCCAATAGAATGGGGACAGAATTGAGGTATGCAGAAAGTAACAGTCATATCCCAAAGAGGAGGAGCTGGTGACTGACTCCACGCACAGGTTTTTTGTATTTTTGCTTATGCGGGACAACAGAACATACGGAAACCAAAAATCGGTGGGAGCCACTAAGAACTGCATGTGCTGTCCGCAGTACGAGACCCCATTAATACATTTCCAGGGACTCTCTGGCTACTTGTTAAACTGTAGCTTGAAATCCGCCATGGTGGGTGAACTTAAAATACTACAAATCAGGACTTGCCTTTCCTCCCTCCAAGTTAGGTTTACCAGCACACCAGTGAGGATGTCCCTGAAAACTTGATCTTTCAGCCTGGAGCTGGAATGATGATAACTGCAGGAACAGCGCCAAAGCTACCTGCGGCTGACGTCATTTGTTTGAGAAAAGGACCTTTGCAATCTCAAACCGCCGGGAGGTAGGGGTTGTGTGTTACCCGAGCGTAATCTAGCCAGAGCTGAACGCCGGCGAACGCCCCAGGGTTCGCCCAGGCCTACATGGGGGTGGAGCATTGGAAATTCCTCCAACTTGTGACGTCAGAAGCTTTGAGCCTGAAAGGGTCCAAACCGCTCCCAGGGACAGGTCCGGGGAACCCAGGTCTTGGAAGGGTAACGCAAAGTTATGAGCTACAGTTACACGGTGCCTCATTTTGAAACCTTGCCAAACTCAGGCCCTTTTCCTCGTGGGCCTGGATAGCTTAAGAGCCACTCCCCACTCAGTTCTGCAGGGAAGCCGCACTCCTGGGTTCCCCTTTGTACCCTCCGCCGCAAGAATGGAACGCTGTGTCTTTAAGGGGGACGCGCGGAGGTTTCCCTCCGGGACAAAATGTCCGCGCGGCGCCAGAAGGGGCGGCCTTGGTCCGGCCTCCTCCTTCCCGCGCTCCGCTGGCCCCCGCCGCGCTCAGCTGGGCCTTGGTGAGCGCGGGCCGGAGGCGCGCGGGCGCACGGCGGGAGAGGCGGGCCGGGCCGGCGGGACCGCAGGTAGCCGGCTGATCGCGAGCGGCGGCGTGTGCGCGGGAGCGGGGCGTGCCGTGGGAGACTGCCGGTGGTCGCGATTACAAAAGGTGCGCTCTGACCCGGGTTCTGCGTAAAGGCCCTGCTTACCTTCCTACAGCACCTCGTTCTGGCACCTTCCCCCCGCCCTCCCTTCAACAAGTTCTTCGGAAGGTGGAAAACCGTCGTCACTCTCCTGCTCTCCCTTTGTTAAAGTTGCCTTATTGCGGGTTGACTTTTAACCGTGCGCCAGCGCTGGGCGCCCTACAGTGGGCTTTCTCTAATTAGGAATTTCTTAATGTTTCCCATTTTGGGTGGGGGGGAATGGAATGCAAGCCAGATGCACAAATTCCCCACCCTCTTTCGGAACAAAAGAATTTTCCGATCCTCTCGGAGTATCCTGGAGCAGCTTGCTGTAATTTATTGACACTGACCAATGCCTGAAGCTTAGTAAGAGAAGTTATATTTTGTCATCCTTGAAAGCAAAAAGTAAGTACTGGCTCGGCGCCTATAGCTCAACCGGCTAAGGCACCAGCCACGTACACCTAAGGTGGCGGGTTCGAATCCCCAGCCTGGACCGGCCAAACAACAATGACGGCTGCAACCAAAAAATAGCCCGGCGTTGTGGCGGGTGCCTGTGGTCCCAGCTACTTGGGAGGCGGAGGCAGGAGACTCGCTTGAGCCCAGGAGTGGGAGGTTGCTGTGAGCTGTAATGCCACGGCACTCTACCCAGGGGGACAGCTTGAGGCTCTGTCTCAAAAAAAAAAAAAAAAGTAAGTACTAACTGGTTGAAATTCTGATTAGCCAAGATTGCAAAGATAACATCTTTAAGAGAAACCTCTGTAGAAACAGCTTTAAAAATTGACAGAGTAAATAGTTTCTGCTCTTTTCGTTACGCATTATTATTACATATTTGGGGGTCAAGAATAGCTTGAGGCAAACGACAATAAAAAGTATACAACAAATGTATAAAAAGACCAAGAGCCCAAACCAGGTTAATTCTCAATTTAGAAATCTTTTGGGTTACAAAGTCCTTCAGAGTAGGGCAGCTTTAAGTCCCTTTAACTCATACTAAATGATGCTTCTTTACAGGATAAAATGGCTCTCCACCTTTCTTTATAGGACCGTATGTAAGGTCCACTTTAGGGCAGAATGCTTTACTATTTTCATTTTTTAAAATGCATTAATAAAAGAGAATGTGCTTCTCTGCCTTTTAGCTAATGGGAGAAATATCTAAGAGTTTGGCTTATGACATTTAGGGAACATCTCTAATTTACCAAATAATTACCTGTGGGTCCAGTACATTTTTTATAGTCCACACGTAACCTTTTTCTACGATTTTTCACACCTAATCCTTTATTCCCTAACTCAGGTATCCACATTTTAACAGTTTAGAGGCATTGTTACCTGCCACTTACTTTCATCTAAACCTCTAAGCCTGGTGATTGCAGTTTAGTTTTTTTTAATGTCTGGATCTGCTTTTAAATAGATTAATATATAGCAGTAAATTAATACTTTAACAGAGATGGACAGACAAGAGAAGAATGAATTGTGATTTCCTTGATACTTCCATTGTCACAGCTAATTATTTAATTACTGTGATCTGCTTTGATTACAGTCATTGGAAGATGAAGTAAATGAAAATGTGTTCAGTGTTCCCACAAACATCTGTGTGAATTTCACATTAGCATGAATTTCTCATCTAAGATTTGGGTTCAGCCAACACTTATTTGTTTATGACTCTGCCTGGTTAATACAACCAGAGTAAGTGGCCTTGAGTATGGAAGGACCAACAGAGCTGTAATTAATTTGTTATTTCCTTTTGAGAACATTGCTTGGTTCTTTGGCTTTTTGCCTGGCTAATGTTTTTTAATATGTTCAAGCATACATATAAAACAATAAAATTAACTTTTATTGAGTGGTTAATAGGATGATTCTCAATTTTATAGGCATACCTTGTGTATATGTCCATATTTATGCAAATTATTCAGATCTTGATGGCTTCTTTTATTCCCTATATTGGTATTGAGAAAGATATACTGCTGAATCTTTTAATCTGATAGGTTATTAGAAGAACTTCTTCAGAAATAGACTGAAATGGGGAGGTAATTAATGTGAACTTATTATCTTCCACAGGCTTAAACTTATCACTTTTTCTAATAATGGATACTCAAATGTAACATGGCCACGGGAGAGTTCAGAGGCACCAACAATGCTATTCTCTCCCCTTTGTGGAAATATGTAAAATCTACTTTGTTTTCCCAGTTTTTTCCCCCCAAAACTGGACTAAAAAGTTTCTAGTCTTAAAGTCATTAAAATTCATGTTAGTAGTGCTTTTATTTAATTTCAGTTATACAACTGAAGAATTCGAACTTTTTAGAGTCAAGTACCAAACTGGGCATGGGTTAAGGCCTGTAATCCTAACTACTCAGGAGCTTGAGGTAGGAAGATTGCTTTAGCCCAGGAGCTTGAGGCTGCAGTGAGAGATATTTGCGCCATTGCAGTCCAGCATGGGTGACAGAGTGAGACCCTCTTTAAAAAAAAAAGAAAAGAGTCAAGCTCTACATTGGTCATGGTGGCTCAGGCTGTAATCATGGGAGGTGGGGGGGGGGGTGTATGGCTTGAGGCCAGGAGTTTGAGACCAGCCTGGGCAACATAGCAAGACCCCACTTCTATTAAAACTTTTTAAAAATTAGCCCAGCTGGTGACATGCTACTATAATCCCAGCTACTTGAGAGGCTGAGGCAGGAGGATTGTTGGAGCCCAGGAGTTTGAGATTACTGAGCTAATGATCATGCCATTACACTCCAGCCTAGACAACAGAGGCTGTTGTCTCTTTAAAAAAAAAAAAAAAAAATTCATCAAACACTATTGGTAATGTGTTTTGGTGGCAGATCACACAGAGCATTTGCACCCTGTAGGGCCTGAGAATGGAAGGGATGCTGAGCAGCATGAACTTTTAGTGGGGGACTCCAAGGCCAAAGCGCCAAGGAGCTGTTCCCTGCTCATCTCGTCCCCACTGTGGAGATCGTGGGATGGAATTCATCTAGATCAGGGGACACTGGTCTAACTTCTACCTCAGGTATGAGACTGACTGTTGGAAGTATCATTTTCCCCACCAGATGGTGAAGACAGAGATGATGTGGTGCTTCTGGAACGCTGGGCAGCAAGCACGTGCCTGACTAGGTAGGTGCAGTGAGCGGTGGGCTGGAGTGAATGAATGTAAGAAGAGTAATCACATTCATTGGCACCTTTCTGGTAGTTTGGGGAAATGGTTAAGGAAAAGTTAAGGGAACTCTTATTTCATTTTCTTCTTGTTAGCTAACCATGAGATTAGTGAATTAGTGACAGGCATTTGTATTGGGTACTTAGTAAGGAAGAAATGCTTATCACAGGGCTTCAGCTAATATGAAGCTTCAGCTTCATATTACCTTCTTTACCTGATCGATAAGCAGCCTATTTTGCATGAAGTCAATTAAGGAAATGAAAGTAAATTTGTGGGGTTAGGGTCTTAGATCTGTTATTTTGTTTGTTTGTTTGTTTTGAGACAGAATCTTATTTTGTTGCCTTCGGTAGAGTGCTGTGGCGTCATAGCTCACAGCACCTCAAACTCTTGGGCTCCAGTGATCCTCTTGCCTCAGAGTAGCTGGGACTATAGGCACCCACCACAATACCTCGCTATTTTTAGGGACAGGGTCTCACTTTTGCTCAGGCTGGTCTTGAACTCCCAAGCTCAGGCAATCCACCTGCCTTGGCCATGCCCAGCCTTCTGTTACTCTTAGAATGTGTATTTTGTATTCAAAAATCCCCAAAGGGAGTCTTCAACTTAGACTACCTACTCTACTGAATAACAGAGAAGAATAACACCACCTCTGAGCACTAAAGAGGGTGTATGTCTGAATAGTAAATACTGGTAGTTTTTCTGTTCACACCTTGACTTTATATAGTAGTGGAAAGTCCAAAAGAAAGGTCATTTGCAGTATCTGATTTCAGCCACTTATTTATAGAGGCAAATATTCTCATCATTTCCTTTGACAGATGGGCAACTGAGGCTAAGATGGGGGCTAAGAAACAGAGTTAGGTTCATTTCATTTAACGCAGTGTCCCAGGTGTCTGCCCTGTGGCAGAGAGATGAACGTGATGAGCCCCTCTCCCATCACTACTTCGCTCTCCTGTGGATATAGAATCTCCTGGTTGGGCAGGGTGCAGCAAACTACCCAATCCTGAGCTTTTCTGCACACTGGGTTTCTTGCATGGCAGATTCTATGCATGGAGATGTTTGAGTGGCCCAGCAATGGGCTTCCCATGGGACTGCCCCTCCAGCCTTCATAGTTAAAGCTGGGCTGGCCCTGCCTGAGGAGCCTAGGGTTTTATAAAATTACTCCTGGCCAGGCTTGGTGGCTCATGCCTGTAATCCTAGCATTCTGGGAGCCTGAGGTATGGATTGCTTGAGCTCAGGAGTTTGAGAACAGTCTGAGCAAGAAGAGTGAGACCCCTAAAAATTAAAAATTTAAAAAAAAAAAACTAGCTAGGTAGCCTGATATGGTGGCAGGCACCTGTAGTCCAAGCTACTCAGGAGGCTGAGGCAAGAGGGTTGCTTGAGCCCAAGAGTTTGCTGTCAGCCTTGACGCACTCTACCCAGGGTGACAGAGACTGTGTCTCAAAAAAAAAAAAAAAGTATTTATTTATCTATAGATCGTGCCATGTGAACACTACCTGAATGCATGCACCTGACCACATCCATGCTGTCTTAGTACCTTGGTTCTTTTGCTTTTGTCTACCTCTTCCCCTTCTCCCTTTCTCATCAGCTACCATTGCCTCGACCCACAGTATCTTGTTCTGTATTTTTCTTCATCCGTATTTCTGTATATCTCCTGTACAGATCTGTATATTACTTAATAATAGTGAGATCATATTACACACTCTTCATCTTGCTTTTCTCCAAGAACAGTTACTCCAGAAATCCCTCTGGGGCATTGGATAAACATATCCTAACACATAGGACATTTGTATTGGTGCTTTTTAGTTCTGCAGAAGAAATCCCCAGGAGTGGAATCTCAGATTACTCCTATTGTTAATTAACACAGGAATGATCAGATTGCTTTCCTTAAAGCCATCCCATCTTCACTAGTCATTCATGAAGATGCCCTTTTCTCTGCCTCCCTTTAGCTTTGGCTGTTAGACCTTCTTCATTTTTTTGTTAGTATGATGGGTGAGTATAAAATGATACTTTATTGTTACTTTAATAGCACTTTCCTGAACCTAAGTGATGTCCTGCATCTTTTCACAAATTTCCTGGTCATTTGTGTTTGTTCTCAGGTCATTTGCCTACTCAGATTTCTTGTCTGTTTTTCTATTGGGTTGTTTTGTCTTTTTCTAGTCAGTCTGTAAGAGGTCTTTGTGTGTCAAAGTTGTGGTTAAAGAGTCTGAAGAGACTTCTCTTTCCTTCTGCACTGTGGGGGCAGTGGAAATGAGCTTTAGCAGAGCCAGGCAGGTACTAGGACCTGTGACCAAGCTTTAGATACTGAGTTTGAATAGCAGATTGTATTGAGCGAGAATACAGCCACGTGTGGAGGACTGAGAAAGTGAGGCAGTTCTGTACCATGCTGCCTTCCACTGGTTAAGACCTCCGAAAGTGAACGGCTGCCCAGGCCGAGCATGTCCCTCTGCCACCCTCGGAGGGGCAGCGCTATGCTGGCCAACAGTTGTGGTGTAGCTCATCTTGGCTTAGGTGAGGCTTCACAGGAAGATAGAAAGATTAAGACATCAAAATCAGTGCCTGTCACCCTTGTGCCCAGCTTTACTCATAACAGATGGCATCCATGTGTGTGGCACTCCTCTGAGCATTCCAGGTTTTTTTAAGAACCCAGAGACAACTTGCACAGAGATAAAAAGTGTGACAGTAATTCTTCACCTCTAGCACTGTTAGGGGCCCATCAGGAATAATGACTCAGGTGTTGGCCCAACTAAGCGAATCTGCAGGGTATGTGTGATTTTTAGCCCCTGCTCCAGAAAGCATGTCAAAATGCAAAGTCATAGTCTTGATATTATAGGAAAAGTTTAAATCTCTTTTGATTTATAAAACAAATCATAAGAATTCATTACAGTAGTCACTCCACTTTTATATATGTCTAATAATAAAAAGGGAACTCTGAGAAGATAAAGTTCAATGTAGAAGGAAACAGAATTCTTTTTAAAAATGGGATAAAGTGCAGGAAAAATTTTAGGTAAAGGTGGATGATTAGAAAGATTTCTGGCAGGGCACAGGGGCTCACACATGTAATCTTAAGCACACTCGGAGACCAAGGCAGGAAGATCACTTGAGGACAGGAGTTTGAGACCAGTGTGAGCAAGAACAATACCCTAGCTGTACCAAAACCCTCAAAAAATTAGCCCAGCCTGGTGGCACATACCTGTAGTCCCAGCTATTCCAGAGGCTGAGGCTGGAGGATTGTTTGAGGCCAGGAGTTTGAGGTTGCAGTGAGCTATGATGACACAGCTGTACTCTAGCTGGGAGAACAGAGTGAGACTCTGTCTAAAAAAAAAAAAAAAAAAAAAACACAAAGGTGTTTCTAAGACTAAAATTTTGTTCTACTTAACTAACCATAATGTTACATAACCGTGATATTAACTGACCATAAAAATACTCCTCTTGAAGGTGATTTTTAACTCCTCATCCCACCAACCTCCACTTTTGGGAGTAATTTAATAAATCTCTTGAGGGGAAATGTAATTCCTAAAGACTTTTAAAGCTAATTAGTCATCATGAATAACCATGATGAATAATCACTCTGATTATATTTTTCTTTCTTAGTTAAAAGTATTGAGCAAGTTTTATATCTTGTGAATCTGTAGAGGAGGCTGTTTAGTTAGGATAAGCACTAAAGAAAACTAATTTTATTTGTTTTATGCCTCATGTATCTATAAAAAGGTAAGAAAAAATGAACACCAGAAAGATGGCACTAGTAGTATTTCCAGTACCTATCTTTAAGGCTGTTTGAATGAATTTCTTTTACTGGGCTGCCTGTCCTCTGAATTTCATCCTAGCAATGTGGATGATTAATCAGACCTCAGGAGTCAACACTGCGTGCAGTTTCTACCCCTCCCTGGCACTTGGGTTAGTTGGAACCTTGAGGCAATGACAGGAACCCCCCCCTTCCCAAGGTCCTTGGGACAAGCCCACCACTAATTTAAAGGTAAAAGTTTTAGTGCTGCTTTGCATATTGTTTCCTAAATGTGCATATTTTTGAAACATTTTAATGGCTTTCAGCATAAGTTTTCTCATAAATAGGATTGCTTTATAACGATAAAAACAGATATTTTATCTTTAAAAAAGTACAGTCATTGAAAGCTTTTTAAAAGGCTGTCTACCACTGGCACTTCTGGCCCTGAAGTTCTTAAGAAACAAAATTTTCATTCTCAAAGGCTTCTTTCTTTTTTTATTGTTGGGGATTCATTGAGGGTACACAGACCCAGGTTCTCAAAGCTTTCTTTTCTGCTAATTTTGAAAGTGTGCTCTGCAAGCGAGACGACTACAGAAGGGAGCCCGGCTCCCTTTAAAACAAATACAGAGATACAGCACTTTTTTACCTGGTTATTTCTGTTCCAGAAGCTTGGTCTCCCATTACCAGTATGAGCAGTTGTTAGCTGGGGACCCGCTGGATTTCCAAGAGAATTCCTAGTGTAGGAAGGGCTAGACATTTCTGTTTTATCTGAGGAGTCAACACTTAATACTGAATATTAAGAAGGAAACCTAGGCACCTACCCGAACTAACCGTAGGATTCTTACCAGTAATGAAACAGACGGAGGCATGCTTTCTTCACAGGCTGGCGGTGGTCACAGGAGGTGCGTGCGGGAACCCTCTCCCGCCGGCGCTGCACGATGCGGAGTGAGGAGCTGCCGGGGACCGCGGAGCAGGGCTGCGGGCCGGACGACGCAGTGGCGCCTCCAGGCCGCCTGGGGGCGCCGTACTCCGAGGCCTGGGGCTACTTCCACCTGGCCCCCGCGCGCCCCGGGCAGCCTTCGGGCCACTGGGCCACGTGCCGCCTGTGCGGGGAGCAGGTGGGCCGCGGCCCAGGCTTCCAGGTGGGGACCTCGGAGCTCTGGAGGCACCTAAGGAGCGCGCACCGGCGGGAGGTGGAGGGGAGCGGCGCCCGACGCTCGCCGCCCCCTACGTCCTGCGCGCCGCTGTCCTGCCCCGCCGCGGCCGCCGAGGGCGACTGGGCGCGCCTGCTGGAGCAGATGGGTGCGCTGGCCGTGCGCGGCAGCCGGCGCGAGCGGGAGCTGGAGCGGCGCGAGGCGGCCGTGGAGCAGGCCGAGCGCGCCCTGGAGCGGCGGCGGCGGGCGCTGCAGGAGGAGGAGCGCGCCGTCGCCCAGGCGCGCCGCGAGCTGCAGGCCCAGCGGGAGGCGCTGCAGGCGCGGCTGCGGGAACTGAGCCGCCGGGAGTGCGCGCCTCTCAAAGAGGACCCGGAGGGTGACAGGGACGGCTGCGTCATAACGAAGGTCCTCCTGTAGGGGTTTGGTCCTTTCCACCACCCTACGCCTGCGCTCATCCAAATTGGGCGGTGGTCCGGTGCCTCGGTGCCTCAGCCTCGCCTGGGACAGGGGTGCTGACTCGGAAACTCCAAATGTGGGGCTGTCCTCGTGCTGCTGACCTTTAGTTTGAGACGCACTTAGGATGCTGGAGCAGAATCAAAAACCGCGTCCTCAGTAGGGGCACCTGGGTGGCCTTAACGTGCGCATGCGTGTAGGGGATGTGGCACCCAGAGGAAGTCAGCCCTGCAGCAAGTCTCCTTGAGCCCCACTCACCTGATGCCAAGACCACTTAGGGCTGGGGAACTGAAGACTTTGAAAGGACAAAAGCTTTTTTCCATACCAAAGACTCAACACCACATGTGCCTATACACCTGGCAGCCCGAGGTGGAGGGCACGTGGAAAAGAGGATAAAGCGTTTTACCCAAGCAGTCTTACTCATTTCCTAATGTGTAATCTGCCCAACACCAAGTTCTGAAAATGGGACCTTGAGTTTCCATGATTGCTCTTTACCCCATCGTCTCTAGGGCCTCATGGGTAGTACGGGACCCCCTAGCTTTATTTGATCCTTCCACGTTGCTCGGCCAATACCAGATGCACCACTTCACAGTGCAGCTGTCTTGTCCTTGGTTCACACCTAGTGGCAGGGTCTGAACCCTCTTTCAAGCATCTGCTTTCTTGCCAGCCAGACACCACCTCACCTCCTTGTCACTAGGATGGGTGATTCCTTCCTGACGTCTTCACAGTCCTCACCTCTGGACCTAAGGAGAAAGCACCCTTCCCATCTAAGGCCAAGTCTTCCTGTCACATCTTCGTCCCACTCCCCTTCCTCATTTACTGGGTCTTTGCTCCATTCATAGTCTTCCTTTCCCTGTCTCATGCCTTCCCTTTCCCCTGGCTCCTCTCTTGGCAATGCCTGGTCACCCTTATACTGAAAAGACTCAGTCCAAAATGGTCAGGTAGTCCTTGCGGCCTGTGGTCCCCCTCTCCAGTTTTTACTCCTTCACTCCTCAACTCTGTTGAAGCCACCACAATCTTCTAATGTTCAAATGTGACAATTTATTTTCAGCCTTCAATTTGTCATTCTCTCCTGTCTTCAAATTCCTGTCTTGAGAGATGGCTTATGCTTTCCCTCCAAAGAATTCCTTTTCCTGATACATACTGGTTCCCAGTTTTTCCTCCATCTTCTCTTTTTTCATTTTTTCTCATTTATTTTTATATTGAAAATTCAACATAAAAAATACCCAGAAAAAGTTGAAAGGCTAGTACTATGTATACCCAAGTACGTTCCAACCAGATCGTTAACATTTTGCCATGTTTACTTTCCCTTCACCACATGCCTGGGTGTATATGACATTTCACCCCTAAGTATTTCAGCATGTATTTCCTAAGAACAAAGACATTGTGTCACATAATTATAGTATGCTTACCGTACCTAGGAATACAAACAAAAGCCTCTAATATAGCATCCTCAGTCAAAATTCATGGGTCTCAAGAACATCTTTTTGTCTGTTTTTAAAACCAGGTCCAGTCGAGGTTCATACATTGCTTTTGGTTAATGACTCCTTCAGTCTTCTTTTAAACTCTAGAACAACCTTCTTACATTTTTTTCCATGACACCTATTTTTGATGCATCAGGCCTGCTGTCTTATCCAATGTCCTATATTCTAGATTTATCTGATTGTTTCATTCGGCCAATTTCTACACTCTTGGCTCATCTTGTAGAGCTACAATAATCTTTTCTGTGCCAGGGACTCCCAAATACCTTCAGGCTTGTGTCGATCCTTCATGTCTAATCCCTTGCTGCATGTCTCCACTCCTACTTGTATATCCTATCTCTGAAACGGAAGGGGCAACTCCGTTTATCTTGCATCCCACCCCTCCCCTGGGAACTAACATTCCCTAGGTTCTCACAGAGTATTGGGCACATGCCACATACTTTGCAGGTTTTCTCATTCTCCCAGCAGCTCCATGATAACATTGTACCTGTTTTGCAGCTACAGAAACCAAGCCAGAGAGATTAAGTAGCCTGTACAAGATCACAGCTGGTAAATAGTAGAGGTGGGATCCAAATGCAGTCTGCCCCCAGATGCCATGCCCCTAGCTACTGTACTGTACTGCCTCTGGAGAGCTCTGCTTCCCTTGTTACTTCCTGTTTCCTTCCTAACTCCAGCTGAGTAATTCCAGTTGGTGAATTAAGTGGAATTGGTTAACATGTACTGAGTTCACCATGTGTCAGAGCTAAATGCTTTAGGAGAGTAATTACTTGCCACACGATAACCTCATAACAGATGCTACTATGCTCTTGTAAATGAGACAGACTCAGGGGCCTTAAGTAATGTCTTGAGAGACACAGCTGGGAAGAGGCAGAGTGGGATTTGAACTCCAGAGTCACTGAACCCTAGGCATCTGCTCTACTAAGCCTATTGCCACAAAATAATGTACCTGCCTTCATTCTGATGACACTTGCCAAGCCCAGGCCCCATTTATCATTCATCTGAGATTCATCTTCCTATCCTTGTCTTCCCCTACGCCACCCCCCCACACACACACCTGACACACAACTGGGCCAAAGACAAGGACTTATCCTAAGGTAACACTGATGAACTGCATCACTTTTTCTGCTCAAAAGCCCCAAGGTCACCCATCACCTACTTATTATAGTCTAAGCCTTAACACTGGCCCAACATTCAAGTTCCTGCCCTTCCCCAGTGCCAGTCTTACTGTCCCCTCCCCTACCCACACTATATGCTCTTCCTGACTTAGTCTGCTGTTGGTAACGCTGTGCTCTTAAACAGCCCCTTCAATCTCCTTGAGTACAAAAAATCCTACCCATTTTCTAAGAGCATGAAGCTTTCCTTGATTTCTCCTTTCAAGGCATTTCCTTACTTCTCTGGACTCCTAGCATTCTCTATCTCACAACCCTCCAAGCAGACCATCTGGCATGTCGTACGTAGGGTAGGTTTCTGTCTTACGGCCAGACTCTGAGCCCTAAGGGTAATTGATTCATCCTAAGGGCACAGTGCCTTGCATGCAATAGCTGCTCAATAAATATTTGAGGTGAATATTCATCCCATTCAATGTGTTTTAAGATTTTTACAAGTTAGTTTTTCTGTAATGATTTATCTTTAATTCTCTGTAAAATTCGTAACAAAAGTCTACAAGGAAATAATAGTAATAATTTTTTTAAGCTGTTAGTAAGGATTTACGAAATGCCAGTTTAGGGCTGTTCAGCCACTGCAGCATGTAAAATTTTTATATTATACAAATAACACAAATATATTGCCCTAGTCTAGCAAGAACAGAAAAAAAAAATATCCCCCAAAGTCTAGTCACTTTAGTGAAACTATTAACACTTTAATGTATTTTCTTTTGTCTTTTGCAATTTTGACATTACTCTAATAATATAAGTAATGTCTTCGAAGACACAGCAATGAAGAGGCAGAATGAGATTTGAACTCTTACTCTGTTAAATATTAGAATTTAATGTCATGTGGATTTCTAAGTTAGGCTATATGATCTGAATTTGAACTTTTTAGAAGAAAAGACTTCTCCAAATGTTACTCTTCTATTCCACCAAATGAGAGAACCGTTAAAATAAAGCAAAGATTTAGAGTCTTAACCACTCCCTTAAGAAAGAGCTAATAGGAGCCTGCTGGCCAGTTCAGGGGACAGGAGAGAACACTGGGCCAGAGAGCTGCCTGCGGGAGTCAAGGGAAGAGGTTTTACTTTGTGCTTTATACACTTCTGCACTGTTGTAACTTTTCATACTAAGCATGAATTATTTTTATAATAAAAAAATCATTTTGCAAATAAAATCCCTCTATCATCAGCATTCGACTTCCTTAAAATCTCAACACAAGCATGAATATAACCCTCACTTCTGAAAAGCCTAGAAAGAAACGTTCAATGCCATTATTTAACAGATGAGGAAAGAGGGTTAACGTGTCCACTCTTAGAAAGTAGCGGCTGTGGCAAGTCACTTAACGGCAGCCTTCTGAACAGATTTCTCTCTGGCCTCGAGGGCTCCTGCTTACTCACCTGGCTAAGCACACAGTCCATCGGCATCCTGATGTCAGCTAAGAGACAGGATTTGAGCGTGCAGAAGTGGGTTCAGGGGATTGAATTGACATCTCAGAGTTGTCACTACAGATTGAGGAGCATGGCCAACGCCTGTAGGGGCAGCATTTCCCCCCAGTTTATGTGACTGGGCTTGTTGGTGCCACCACTCCATGCTGCCTTTGAGAGTGGCGCACGCAATGGTGACATAGGTGAATGGACCCTACAACTCAACTCCTTAATGCTTGCTGTCATGTAAAGTGACTATTCATTTCTTCAGATTGAAATACGGCAGGGAGGACAGGGGTGTGGGGAAAGCAGGGTAATGATAACCAAACTGAAAAAGGCTAGAGCCATCAAGCACCCTAAAGCTGCCACTCTGAGAGGCTAGAAGAGTTGCTATGGAGTGGGTTGGGTTTCCACTAAATCGTCCATGTCCTCAACGTCCCCGAAGGGATTCATAAACACTGGAGGGTTTGGTTTTGGTTTTGTTTTGCAACCAGAGACTCATCCAGGAATTGTTTCTAAAGGTTTGACCTTCTTACTTTTCAACAATCTGCATCTCCTTCTTTGCCTCTAAAAATGGATGAGGGGAATATTCAGGCCCCTCCTGGCTCTAATATGCTATAAGTACATAAAGTACGGCAAAACATCAATCAACATTTTAGTGAATTAGTTACTGTTTAATTGGATTTTTATGTTAAGTGCAAATTTAGAAGAAAATGTTGAAAGTCACATACATGTGTTTATTAAAAATGGTAGTATCAAAACCAAGAAATTTGATATCCATTCAATACAACAGTATGAAGGCCCTAACTCTGTCAGATTCACACCTAGAACTATAAACATGCTTGACAATGATCAGCACTTCTTTTTGTCCTCTTAACACCCAGCAGGCAGGGCAGGTTTTAAGTCCAAGTTTTACACTTCAAAACGGGGGTGTCCTGCTGATGGCATACAGCTAGTAAGCAGACTGGAGAATGGGGTCCATGGATCCCTTCACATCTATGGCCAGTTGTGCTTCCAGGCCTCTCTTCTAGCTACATCTTGAGCAGTGCTGGGACCTCTGGATCTTGGCCCAAGTGCTCTAATGCTTGGGTTGATGTTGGCTCCTTCCCACCATGATCTCTAGGGTTGGGGACAAGCCAGCCAGCTTTCCCAGAGGAAGCAAGGTCGGCCTTTGTATTAGTTTTCTTCTGCTGCTGTACCACATCACCACAAACTTTGTTGAGAACTTCAAAGAACAATTATCTTAGTTTAGCAAGTCAGGAGTCCAAAAGGGATCTCAAAGTGTTGGCAGGCTGTGCTCTTTTCTGGAGGCTCTAGGGGAGAATCTGGTTTTGCCTTTTCTAGCTTCCAGGGACTGCCCACA